GCCTAAAACTCCACTACAAAAAGCTTAACACGCAAAACAAAAATAAATTACAAAAAAAAATTGACTAGAAAGGTGAAAGATATCGTTTTCAGATGACGATCTATTAACGAAAATACCTACTTAATCGGTTCACCGCATGGCAAAGCGGCAACATCCGGCTCCTATTGTTCAGATTCTCGAAAACAGACTCTTAATCTTACATTTAACATCTTGTATTAATGAAATGATTGAACTTCGAATAAAACACAGACTATACCAGATACACCAGGCAACCGGCAACAAGTGTTCTGTACAATTCCATATTAGACTTCAGTACAACAAAACAATTAATACTTCCCACGCTAAAAGACGGGATGGCAAATTTATTAAGCCAATAAACAACGCCCTATGCGTAAGTTTAATTAGGTAGCGGCGTTAAAGCTAAATAGCTAAAACTTTTCCAGCAGCCTAATAGTATGCAAGGAGTTTTGATCCGTAAATCACTCCTCGCCGCACCTAATCTAGAGGATGAATGCTGTGGAGATTCTCTTGACTAACGTCTGATGTTACTGACGGTTTTAAATATATATATTTTTTCTTTTTATGGATCTGGCCTTGCCGGATCGATCTGTCGCCATGACAGAATCGGGCCACACACGTTTGGGCGCCAAATAAGTTTATTGTTATATATTAGAATACTGTAGCGAACTACGTTTCGAGAGCTGGTGTAATTTGTAGCCTACGTAGAGCACGCGCTGGTTCCGGCATGAGTTACCAGTAGAGGGGGGTCGGGGATAGGTTTTAAGAACGCTGCTACTTGCTCTATAGACGAACAACAAAATCTTATTACTTCGCGTGCTAAAGGGTACGAGGATCTCCACAGGACTAATGGACCGGACTATTGACTAGCAAAGGACAGATAAGGACGAACAAGGATGTAGTGCCTTTATGTCAGCGGTTGTTCAAGCTGACTTGCCCTCCCTACCATGATCACCATCGACCAGATATATTTATGGCGATCCCTAAAAGGCGACTACACTTTACACGACAGATAACATTCGACGACGCATGGCTTCCCTATGGACTCTACTCAACTTTAGACAACATTATAAATTTTATTTTTAAACATAGAATAATCCTATTAACTGACAAAATTTAATTCTAAACAAGAGCATTAGGATCCTAAGAAGTGATTAACATATAGATTGAACTTAAAATTGCGAATTTAATGAATAAAAATTAAATTTAGCGATCGCTGAATATTTCAGTGCTCATGTATATAACATCTAGCTTTTACATGAAATAATACAAATGTAGAGAGCGGGTATAATGGGTGTAGGTATGTAAAATTATGGCATGATATGTGTGGCTTAAAACTTTATATTATTGAGCAGGGAGTTGTGGTTTGGGCTTTATGGGGAGGACATTTTTTTGGAGTTTGTAGTTTCTTTAAATTTTTTTTTTTTTTTATTACAGCATTTAAGTGAGGGGTGAATTTTTTATTTTGTAACAAGTTAAATTTTCTCTTTAGACTTTTGTTCTATTTAAAAAGGGTAGTTGAGATTCTTATGACATTAAATCGACTCACTTTGTTTTCCCACGAAGAAGCGCTTCTCGAAGGGGGCCTGTGAAAGAGAACCTCAACTACATAAGAGATCGCTAGCGTTACTCTCACTCGCCTTACTCGTACTCTACAGCGGTACGGTACTCTGCCGTTAAGACATGGGAGAGGGAAGGGAAAAGTACATGGGAAGACGGGACTGCTCAGCTCTAATGCATATTTTCCCTGTTATTGACCTACTCTCTTGATTATAACTATTCTCTTAAAACTACTTAAACTAAAATTCAGCTTCAATCTGCTTCTAGTGGCGTATAATGACGCGTAAAATTCGAAACTTTAAGTTTTAAATGTAATTCGAAATGATTTAGTATTTGAGGGGTTGATTAATTCATTTTTTTTTTCTTCTTGGGCTATATTTCCCTACGGCTTACTGACTGTATTGCCGGTAAATGGCCTAGCCTAAATTTTGTTGGCTAGTAGGCTATTCTACAACATATAAACGTAGATGTAGAAAGTATCAAAAATATGTAGATAATATATATAAATCAAATTCTCGGCGCTTTGGTTGCTGCTGAGGGATCTCGGATTCTGCTGCTGCTGCTGGTGCTGATTGATCGGTTGATGGGTATATAAATTCACTCCTGCTGGCCCTTTTGTTCTCCAGACGCCTCTTACGCCCGAGCCTGGCTTTTGGCGGACCGGGGTTACACAGAGAAAAAAAAATACCAAAACTGGTCATCATTCGGGTATTTTTTCATATCAATTTTGGTCCCATATGTGGTCATACCAAAATGATATTTTCGAACATACCAAATTGGTATTTTCGAACATATTAATAAGGTATTTTTCATACAAGATTGTTATGATCTCATATCAAATTTTGCTACAAAATTTTGTATTGTATTTTCTCTAACTCAGAAAAGCATTCTGCCACGAAAAAAAAAATGTCTGCATGGCTCAGAGGCCAAGGTGCTAGGTCCTGATATTATTTTGTGCTCGGGGGAACGGGGTTCAAATCCCGCTCACAACACAACACAACTTTTTTTTTTATTAGTAATCTTATCATATTAACTTTTTACAACAATTTTGTTTTTAATATTGTTAAGGAAATGTTAATTATGCGCCTTAAAAACTTTTTACTTTCTCTGCCTTAGCCGGTTTTGAACCGGGGTCCTCTCGCATCAGAGTCGGATGCGTTACCTATTGGGCCATCGCGACAAGTTACACGCGAGTATATTAGCTAAACTTGAATGTAAAATTAGCTCGTTTAAGCATGCTCAACTTGTAAGTGTGACCACAGCATATAAAGCGGTATAATACCAGAAATACAACAAAAATACAACTTTACAGCCATACTATTTTTTCGAAGACTTTTCGATGCCCCATTTGATATGAAAAACATATCAATCTTTGAAGTATTCATATTAATATGTTACGGATTCATATCAACATGGGTAATTGTTATGATTTCGTATCATATTGGTATGAATTCGTATTACATTTATATGGAAAAATTGATATGTACAAATTGAGGAGACAATATCAATCTGGTATTGTTCCATTTTTTTCTCTGTGTATGTAACCGGGTGCCACCTGAAATATCAAGGCGTTCAGCCGCCGTTTTTTCCACTTTCTCTACCAAAAAAAACTTACCCTCTAGGGGTTGGCACTTTAGCACTTGTATTTTGGTTTGGTTTTAACCAACTTGCAACGGCGATTGCCGGGAATTTTAGTACTTTTGGATTTCCTTAAATTTTTCAAACTTCGATCTTCACTGCACTTGCAACTAACTTCTGTTTCAATCCACTGGCAATTTTGGTGTGACTCTAAACGAGATTGACTTCGGGTCGGGACCCAGAGTACGACCTCGCTCACCACTTTGGTGAAATTTTGGAATTTTGGCTCAAGAGACTTATCCCTGTCCAAAATCGTTCTGGCCAATTTCCGTTGCCTACTTTTGGGCCGAAACTTTTTCACGCCAAACGACAAGCAATCCTACAGGGGAGTTAAGTACTTCCTCAAAGCAACTTCAGGTTCAAGGTGGATTGGGGTCTTGTGAAGTACCGAACTCTGATTGATCATCGACCTCCTCCAACATTTTGTCGCCATGGATTCGAAAAGACCTTGTCAAGACCGGGCCGTAAGCCAAGCCTCGGTTTGTCTTGCAATATGCTAAAGTTCAGCATTGGACATACTGGTGTCTACGCCAAGTCTCGCTTCTTTATTTTTTTTCATCTGTGTATTTATGGGCCTTTGTCCAACCGGTTGGCACATTTGTTTAGATAAAATCTCAATACATAGTTGTTTATTTTTTCGTGCCTGTCATTACGCTGATCTGTGGGCAAGAGGCCTCAATTAGCCAACTTTTGTAATGGTTCGAAAAACATTGTTATTAGCATATTGCTGGGATAGAATTGCTGAAGCTTGAAAATTCTAAAACTATTCATGGCGGTCTCTAAATGAGAATATCGTAATGAGGTAGGTAATTTATTTCTTATCTAAATAGATTCAATGCATTCAAGAAAATTTTAAATCAACTCTTAATAAAAATGGATATATTTTCCCTAAAGGTTTGTAAAAACATTTTCTTTGTTCCCCAGAATTTTAGCACAAGAACAAATAATATTTTCCTTAAAGGTTTTTTCAAAACATTTTCTTTGTTTCCTAGAATTTTAGCACAAGAACAACACAACTTTTGTAATCATTTAGGATCCTAAAGCAAAAAGGTTACAAAACTATTTTTACCTTCCACTTAAAAACAGTCACAAACGGCACAAAAGAAAAACTTGAAATGAGCTGAAAATTCTAAAACAGCTTCCTATTTATACCGCAAATTGATAAAGATTTTTGAATAGCTTTTGAAAAGTCAACTTTGTAAGCCTGTCCAAGCCGAGCTTTAAACGCAAGCCCAGCAAGTTGGCCAAATTGAAAGCTCTTAAGCTCAGCTTGTAAATTGAATTTATAACGCTTCATCTATAGTGCGACATAAACAGTGACTAAGTGTTTACTTCGGTCTAGATATCAAATGGCAGAGCAATTAGCAATTTTTATTGATTTAAGGGAGAAACTTTCAAATTAGAATTCGCTAATAAAAGTCACAGCTGTTCAATGGAAATCTTAGCTTGTGGCTTATACTTATAGGTCGACTACCAGAATTTTTCTAAGCCCTGTTCCGGATATTTAAGTTCGGGCAATGTCTTAAAATTCTTTGTATTTTAAGGACTAGCACTGAGATGATATTATTGAAAATAAAAAGATTTTTAAATATTTCTCTGCTTATTTTTCCTATTATTTCAATTTCAGAAACGTTAGGATCTGCAAAAAATACGTTTTTTAGCTGAATATTACAAAAAAATTACATTTATATATGTACCTTAAGTTAAAATATTTAATAAACATTTTTTAAATATTACATCGAACTTGTTTCCTAAATTAATTCCAAAATCTGCACAATCAAAGGAGGTCGAATAAATCTGTCATCATAAATTTACTGGGAATTCCTTTGGCATTTGATTTGTGAATATGGGTGCAGAACAATCGGCCGTGTTGGCCTGCACTCAGACGGGAATCCAGGAGAAACCTCTCGAGCTGATCAACTCTGAGCTATTTTTCCGCTTGTACTTTGAAAAGATGCGACAACCTGTCACGGGACCAGTAACAGAAGCGCTTTTGCACTTGGTAAACAATTTACAAAGTTCGAGGGCTATTGTTAATGGTAAGTTATCCAATTTATCAACGGTCAGTCAATAATTGTTATTGCCAAAGCTGAAGAATCGAACCAGGAAGAAGATAACTGCAGTGAAAGCGGCTTTAACTCGGAGTACAGCGACGACAGTGAAGTCTCGACAGCAACGTACTCCGATGATGTTGAGATAGAGCCTCTGCAGATAGCCCAATTCGACTCCATGGACGAATACGATGTGCCTTTATACGATTCTAATGAGCCCTTTGTCGACACCCTGCCGCTATTCAATTCGCACTAATATTTGATCATTAATTTAACATATTAATTTATGTACAGAACTAATTGCAACCTTTTTTTGTTTTTACTTAAAATTAACCTTCTTCAGTCTCAGCGACTTGATGGGTCTGACAATGCTCCTTCGCTCCTCACGATGCTTCTTCATCTCCGCCTCGCGCTTCTTGGCATGGAACTGTGATTTCTTCAGCTTGTTCACCTCGAAGGTCATCTGTCGATTGCCCAGGGAGCGACCCACGTTGGTCACTTGTCCCTCCAACTGGGACATGACCTGCACGCGATCCTGCAGGCTGGCCTTCTTGATGCGCTGCTGCACCAGACTGCTGCCCTGGTGCTGATCCAGGGCGGTCATGGTGAAGCGATGGCCATTGGTAGTGGGTTTTTGGTGGTAGCCATTCGTTTGGGGTGCTATTTTAGAATCGGCAGATTCGTCCTCCTGCTGCTCGTCATTTTCCTCTTCCAAATCCTCCTCTTCCTCACGCTGTCGCTTCACCTGCTTGTAAGCCTGCTTCATTTCCTTCACATACTCCCTGCGATCTTCATCGTCGGAGGATGCTTCATCACCGCTGTCATCCTTAGTCTCGCCATCGCTCTTCTCAAAGCCGAAGAGATCCTCGTCGTTGTCGCTTTCCTCGCGCTGCTGCGCCTCGTCGGCATGCAGTTCGGCCACATGCGCCACTTCCACGCGCTTCTTCAGCTCCTTGGCCTTGGATTTATCCAGACGATTCAGTACAGGAGCCAGCAGACGATACTCCTCGGCCGACTTGTTGACCGCAAAGTCGGCGTTCTCAAACATGGCCTTGAAACGCGAGTCCTCGAGAAGATTGGGCACATTGCGCTGCTTCGAGCTGTTCGAGGGATTGGCCTGTTCGTCCATAATCTTGAGAGCCAACTCCTTGTTGACCTTGGGCAGCTTGGATTCGATTTGAAGGCGCGACTTGCGCTCGCTCTCAATCTCCTGTCGGATTTTGTCCTTGCGGAAGCGGTCAAAGGCGAAGGGTTCCACCACAGCCTTGGCTTTGTTGTACAGCCGAGCGTCCATGAAGTAACTAAGGGATTTCAGTTTATTATAAAATATTGTAATATTGTTTATCCCTTTAAGACTCACCCATGCATGTAACCCTTGAGCAGATTGCTGCCCACCAGATGCTCCATGCCCAGTTCGGCCAGCTCCTTGGCCGTGACGAACTGGTAGTCATCGTACACATTCTCCACCACCTCCGATTCGATCTCCTCGGTGAGGTTGTCCAGGAAGGAGCACCAGCGCGGAGCTGGGCCCATGGCAGGCACATAGTAGGTCATCATCTTCACATCCTCCTGGGCCACAAAGAACATGCCCGTGTCGGGAATGGTGCAGAAATCATTAAAAGAGGTAGTAGACTCCACATATGCGATCTGCTTGCCCGTCTGTTCGTCCCACAGCTTCAACGTGGCCTCGTCCAGGCTGTAGACGGCATTCTGGGAGGGATTAAAGGCCAGCCGCTTGATGGGCAATCGATTTAGGTGGTTCTTCACCAGCAGCGGTTGCTTGGCCCGTATATCGTAGATCAGTACGTGTCCCGAAGCTGTGCCCACTCCCATATGCAAGCCATTCCTGAATTTAAGCGCCGTCACCGAGGGAAACTCCTTGACGCCCGGTAATTTCATGGCCACGTCCAGGGTGGAGCAGCGCTGCTTGGTGCGCGGATCCCAGGCCTCCACGGTGCCTTCTTTGGTGCCCGCCAGCAGAAGATGGTGCTCGGGATTCACTTCGCAGGCGTTCAGACAGCTACCTTCCGTTTCAAAGGGCTGCAGGAACTGGCCGCGCTCCAAATTGAGTCGGTAGATGTCCTGCCAGAAAGGAGATTAGTTTGAGAGGGTAGTATACAGTAGAGCCCTGCGTGAATCATTCAATTTTTGTTTTAAAATTAATTTTAATTAAATTATATGTGAAATAAATTAAATGTTTTTTTAATTCATTTCGAATTGAATGAATGAATAACTTTTATGAATTTTTTGAATTTGCCAGATTTTTTTTGTGCTTTCTTTTGAAAACAAAAAGTGGAAAATTTTTAACAAATCAATGTTAACTGCTTAGTAAATAAAATTCAGGCAGATTTAATCACAAAATGATGTCCCTTTTGCTTTTTCAAAAGAAATTAATTGAATTGAATGAATGAATGGCATGAATTCTCAAATAATTCAAACGATTTGAATAGAATTGAAATAGAATCAATAGAATTGAATGAATGAATAGCATGAATTCCGAAATAATTCAAAAGACAAACTCAAAATTTAAATTCATTGAATTCTATTAAACTTAAAATTCGAATTAATTCATTCATATTAAACAAAAAATTCAAATATAATCAATAGAATTGAATAAATGAATGGCATGAATTCCGAAATAATTCAAAAGACAAACTCAAAATTCAAATTCATGCAATTCTATTAAACTTTAAATTCGAATTAATTCATTCATATAAAACAAAAAATTCAATATAACTCATTGAATCCATTCATGCAGGGCTATAGAAGATAGATAGAAGTACTTACCCTGCCCACGCCCACGATGAACATATCGCAGCTCGGTTTGTGGTACTTCATGTCCCGACCGAAGCGCGGAATCCTCAGCCTGTAGTGCCGCCCGTGGGCCGCATGGATCTCCACGTAGCGGTCGCACTGCAGGAACACCATCTTGCCGTAATCCTCGCTGATCACCTCGAAGGTGGTCACCTCGGAGTCGAAGCAGCGCTCGAATTTGATGGACAGATTGGCCACCTCGAAGCACTTGACGCGCGGCTTGTAGGTGCCGGTGGCCAGGATGTACTGCTGGTCGGGACTCATGCGGATGCTGGTGCACACGCCGGGCATCTCGAAGTCCTGGATGAGCTCGATCTGCCGCCGGGAGTCCACCTTCTTCTTCAGCTGCGACCGCTTGCGGCGATCCGTGAGCCACTAAGTGAAGATATTCTTGATTATATCTACTTTGCAGGGGGAATATCTTTGTACTTACATCCGGCACCGACTTGCCCGCGCTCAGGTTGTAGATCTTCACATCGTTCACTTCGTTTACGAACATTTTGGCCGTAATTTACGAAGAACTTGCAACATAAACAAACGAAACCCGCAACACGTGCGCCCCTCTAGAGATGGCCTCTTGGTCGCAAAAGGTCTCACTAAAAGGTGGATGTCTCCGCTAGCTACGCAGGCGGGGTCACACTGGCATATTATTTATGGTTCAGTGTGACCTTCGCGACCAAAGCAAAACAAAGAGAGTGTACTGATTTGCATCGACGACGAATCGACCTGTAAATTGAAAATAATTGCAATAATAATACCCCGCAGCCCGCGAAGCCAGCGTGTGTGTGATAGCACCGGACTGAGCTGCATTTTGCATTGCCAAATTGGCAGAGAGCTGCAATTGAATTCCGCCCAAGAAAACAATAATACGCACATACACACACACTCGCACACTTCCACGCCCCCCGCTCTGCGTAACCGCCCTACATTCCGCGCTCCTTCCGCTCCCTAAGGTGTACTAAAGTGATCTAAAACGGTGAGTAATATTCGCCGTTTTCCTTAAGCCAATTAAAGACTGATTAAATTAAACAAAATGGAAAACCATCCGCGAAAAGGGTGACGCAGTGCAGCAGTGGGTGCTCGTGCTCGCAAAACTTTCCCCTGCGCTCTCGCTCTCTCTTGTTTTTGTCGTTAGGCTGCCCCACTCCACTCCATTGTTGTTGTATACACCCCCTGAATGCTTTGATACCCTACTAAAGGGTACTACGGTTTTCATCACCCGGTTTGTGACTCGGATGAGTAATTAGATATGGAAAAATCCAGTGACAAACAGATGGTTTTTTAAGGGATGGTTTTAGATCTGATTGGGTTTTTTTGTTTAAAAATAACAGTCGCACATATATTATTTTTAGGGTAGTGTGGGGCAAAGTCGACCGCTAATATGTATCACTCTTATTTTCTATATCTCTGATAATTCTGATAAAAATTAATTATATTAATCATTCCATTAAGGATTCAATTATAGGATTATTCCAATAGAAAGATATGTATATGTATGTAAGATCATTTTAGGGTATGGTATAGTAGTATGGTGGGGAATATCTGACACATCCTCCCTAATGATAAGCTGCCTACAAAATGATGAGTAACATCAATGGAACTACAAATTTTCTTAGAATTTTGTTATCAGGTTTTGTTATATTCTTCGAAGTAATTTGATTTAATTTTTCGAATTTATTTATTTCGACTTTTTAGGGATTTTAATATCTTAAATTTACCAAAAATATCTGTTTAAGGGTATCAAAACATCGGCTTTACAAAGCTTTGCTCCTTTCTAGTTCTTTCGCCTTGTTATGGGTGCGCCTTTGTGCTTCTTTTATGAGGAGGGGCGGATGGGATGATCCACTTCCATTCAACGCAATTTGCAAATATGTGTATGAGCAAGCTGGCGGATTTCGCATTCATTGATTGCTCCACTGATGTGTGGCCTTTGGCGTTTGACTGATAAGACTCGAGACCGAGACCCACTGCATAATCTTAATTGCCCGCCGGAGAGTCTATAAAATTGATATTTACTTGGCAGTTTGACAGGCAGTGAAATGTGATAGGGTCCTATATTATATTAGCTGAAATTTATGTTTATAATACTGTTGATACTTTCTTGATATAAAGGTAAATCCATTCTATAAATTTTTCTTCATTTTCTGAATTTCTTTGCTATCAGATAATGGTTCGTTTATGGAAGTTTAATTAGTAGTATTTACTTAAAAGCTTTATTTTGTATTGATATGTGATTATTTCTTCGCAATGCTGTATAAAAAGTCAAGATTATAATTATAATTAAATGGAAATATTTCTCACATCAAGTTACTTATGATTCGGTTAGTATTTACCATTCTGAAATAATCAATTAAGCATTCCGAAATGGGTGAGTTTACCGCTTTTAATAATTAAATTCCCACGATTACCGGGCGACCTTGAGCGTAATCCCTTGCGACTCGA